GGGCAATCTACTTCTGTAGTGATACCTCCTCGGAAACCCAAGGAGGAGTCACTGTGAGTTGGATCTGACTCCATGGCAGTGAGTTAGTTTTTTTGAGTAATCTATGGGTGGATACATTGTAGATTAGTAGACAGGCAAGAAGATCAGGTGTGGAAAGGCAAATGGGAATGTACCCACACCATACATAAGTTTGGCAGATGATATTCCTACATATGTATTTGTATGTACTGTAAAAATGCCCATATGCAGTATAAAACTAACAGGAGACCAAGGTAGGATAACTTCTTAGCCACAACTAAGCACATTAAAAGAATGAGCAACTTGGCCTGAAAACTGGAGACCATGGTCGTGGGGGACATCAAGCTCAATTGGCACAACATAGAATACAAAATTATCGTTCTACGTCTTACTTCAATGAGTAGCATTAGGATCTTAAAAGCTTATCAGTGGCCATCTAAAATGCAACAATAGGTCTTACCTCGTCAAAGATCCATGGAACAGTCCAAAGGACTGATGGACCCTAAGAATGTCAGCCTATATGACCCTGAGACCAGAAGAACCATATAGTGCCCAGCTACCAACAACAACCACTAGGAAAGGATCAAAATTGGAGATCCTGGATAAAGTGGGAGAAAAAAAATGTGGAACATAATTTTAAAAAAGACCAGGTTTACTGGTCAGATAGAAACTGGTGAAAGCCCTGAGACTATGGCCCCAAGTCATCCTTCAGCCCTGGAATTGAACTCACTTCCACAGCTTAACTCTCAGCTAAACAACAGACAGACCTACCTATGAGCTGAACAACTAACTACACCAAGGAGATGCATTCCTTAATAAAATCAGCCATGGGAGATTAGAAGGGCTACATTCGCACAGGTAGAAAGTTAAGGCACGAATGCATAGGCAAGGACACAGGGAAAGGGCAACTCCAGAGACGACGTGGGAGGACAGCTGTTACACTTTGGGGATTGTAATCAGTATCATGAAACAAAACATAGCTGGACTGTTGAATGTAAAATGAATCTGCTTTGTAAAATTTCACCCAAATCACAATAAAAAGTTAAAAGAAAAAAAAAGAAGTCAAACTTGGAGGCGTACAACAAAAGGTATTTTTATTTTAAAATGTCCCCTTGGTATTTTAGATCTCCACAAACCCAATATTTAACATTTACAGGAGATAAAACAGTAAAAGAGCAGCAGCTGTTTTTCTGTGATGTCACTGAACAGGTGTGATACAATTTCATCCCAGTGAAATTGGATGGATCTCTTGTTGATGCCCAGGAGGCCCATAGGGAACCAGTACTGACCTGAGTCTCATCTCCTCAGATATGACCAGAAAATAAACTGGGATGACAAAAGTCTTGATGACTGATCAGTATAGATTCGGAGCAGACATTCTCCCAAACAGATCAATACTATCCAAGGTGCAGCTGAAAAACAGGATGAGCTTGTATCGTTAAACAAACACCAAGCTGCTTATTCACGAGGGCAAAAGCAACACAGCATTTGTGTTTTCCACAGTGTATTTGCCAGTGACCTCAACCCTGACCTGCAGAACCACCCTCTGTGGGGTGAGAATCCTATGTTGGGTCTGCCTCTGGCGCTGGAGGACTCCTATGAGTGGTGACATGTTCTACTACAAGAGCTACATGCCTGCTTGGGCCTCGCCAAGACAATTACATGATGCCCAAACAACTAGTCAATGCAGTTGATTTGGTTGAATGACTGGTCAAATAGTATTTGGCATTTAATAGACACAAAAAAAGTAGAAACTAAATTTCTACTTTTTTATCCACTTATACTGGCATTATATGAACATATCTTGGATTAAATTGATTTAGAAAGTTTTTATGATACCAGTTGTTTCTATATACATAAATAAAAATATCTAGGTAAACAAAATATTATTACTCAAAGAAGGAGAAAAATATATTTTTATTAACTGCAAGGTTTTTAACCTCCAAAATTGCCTCTGTTATAAGTTTAATTTAGTCACATAACACACCCTTGTACCTGTACACTCTTTTGTATATCAATATGTGTATATGTAAATGAACAAGATTTAAGGCTCATAAGAATATGTATGTGACATCACTATTTTCTGTGTTATAGTTTATAAAATACAGGGACGTTTTGGTCCTGTCACTGTGGATTAATATATGACCCTATATTCCTCTAGCAAGGTGGCCTTAAGTACAACTGGCATGACTAAAATTCACATGTTTTGTATTGTCCTAGGGTGAAAAGTCTAAGAATAAGACCCCAGCTTTTAGAGGCTACAGGCAGATTGAGGGCCACTAAATGTATTTAAACAGAAGTCAAATATACAACCATGTAAGCTATGTTTACTCAAAAAAAAAAAAAAAATACAGTTGTCTTAAAATATTTGAAATGTGCACTAGTAGCACTATTGTGATATCCAATCACCTATCATCTAAGATCTTTTATGTATTTATTTTATAATGTTTAATTTATTTTTGCAAGGTTAGATACAAGGTATGAGAACCCTAGGTAAAACAAAAGCTGTGTCTCTGGCTAGTATTAAAAAGACAAATTTCTTGAAAAGAAACAAGTCGAGTAATAAATTATTGCCTTTCCCCTCCCTTCAACTAAGTTTTCCCTGACGTGAGGGAAAGGGAGCCTTGAAAAGGAGAAATCAAACTTTCCCTCAGCACATTACCGTATAAGAACTATATCCATCTCCCTAAATAAAGAACAAATAAATTTGGCTTTGGAACTCTGCCATGGAGTGGCGGCTCCTGCAAAGGGGACAGTTAGCTATTAATTGTTAATGTCGTCTGCCATTAGAGGGCACTAAACAACTCTACATTAATGCTGCATTGGAGGGAAGAGAGAAAGGGAGACTGGAAAAGAAGGCAGGGAGAAAGGGGGTGGGGAGAGAGTTGGGGCTGGGTCGGGGATGAGGGAGGGAAAGAGAAGAGGGGAAGGAGTGGGCGGACGGGACTGAAAGAGGGAGAAAGGAGAGAGAGAATGAATCTGGAAAGATTAAGAAGGATGTGGAGCCCCCAGAGCCGTCTGAAGTGAGCAAAAAGCCACCCTCCCCTGGGTTGTCCGTGCCCCTCCCCTCCCGTCCTCACGACGGTAATTATAAAGCGAAAAGCATCGGCGAGGTCACCCGTTTTTACCAGCCTGCTGCACCGAATGCGCGCGGTGCAGGTGCGGCGGCCGCGGGGTTTTGTGATTCATGCCCACTTTCAAAGGGGGGCTTGGGCCAGTCTGAGAGGCACCCAAACAACTGTCTTCTAATATTAGCACGGCTGTATTTCGGGATCTATTATAGTCTGTCCAGACAGATCCCATTGTAATGGGATCTTTTATTAAAAGATTAGCACTATCTCCTGCAGTTGGTGGAAAAAAATCTGTTATCACTGAGTTATTTGCAGTTGTGGAGGGGATGTGAGGGGGGGTTGATGGAAGATGGGGGACGAGAGAGGGAGAGGAGGACTGGGGGGGCTGGCAAAGGAGTTGAGGGGGGCCAAGAGGGGAGGATTTGAAAACCGTAGGAGAACAAATCCCAATGACCTGCAAATGTCCAAGAATTTTGTCTGCATACTTAGCTGTCTGTTGTCCTTTGGGCTTCAGAGCGAAAAGAATAGAAATTAAAAAGGCAGCTTTGAAATAAACAATATAGCATTTTCCGTTAAGTAATCGTTTTATATAAAAGGAAATATCGCCTCCTCAGTTTCATTCAGCGGTGCCAAAAATGTTATAAATGAGAGACCCGCCAACTTTCAGCGAAGAATGCCAGGCACTGTGCTTAATAAACTGAGGCTACAGAAGTTCATTATCGATGTTGCAATCTTTTTTATTCCGCAAACTGAGAGAGGGAGAGAGAGAGCGAAAGAGGGAGAACGAGAAAGACACTGGGACAGACTGAGACAGGAGACACACAGAACAGAAACTGGGGAGTCTCGAAGCTGGGGGGGGGGGTGGCAGACCGCCTACGTCGGCGTCCCCGCTCCGGGCTCCGACTCCAGACGCAGCCAAGTGAAAGGCAAGAAAAGAAAGGGAGAGGGCGCGACTGTGACAGGGGGAGGCCAGGCCTGAGGTGTTAAACATTTTTGTTTGCTTCAGACTCGTCCAGACGAAGAGCCGCGTCTGGGCTGCGCTTAGCCAGGGTGGAAGGTGTCGGGCCCGAGGGTACTGGCACCAACTCTAGGCTGGGGTCCGCGCAAAGTAAGGCTCGCACAGAACCAGACACAAAACCTCTCCGGGTCCCGAGCCCAGGCTGCGGGAACCGACAACTGCAGCGCACCCCCGCGGCGCCGCGAGGCCGGCGCGGTCTGCCCCAACCTGGAACGTGTTAATTTGGCAACCCCGGGCTCTCGGTGCGTTTGCAAAATCTGTCTGGAGCGGAGGAGCAACGGTGCGGAGACAAACTCCCGGGTTCCCCTGCTCGCCCGCCGCCGCCTCCAGCGCCCCTACCGCGCCCTCACTCGCGCGCGCGCGCGCGCGCACAGACACATATACACACACACAT